TCAGCCAGCGCCAGACATCTCCATTTCCATCAGGACGAGCTGACAAGCTAGCGCGAAATATTTGAAGCGCAGCTCATGGACCAGGCATCTTCGCCACGAGACCATGACTCTCACCGCAAGAGGAAATGGGGACAGCGCGTCGTCGGCAGACAGTTGAGTTTCTGCATTGAGATGTTCAAGCCAGACTCACGACTGGGACTTGCTCTGGTAGGACGATTCCGTTCGACACACTCAGCGGATCTTGATGCGTCTGATCTTCACGAATCTCTCGCAGGGGCGTCCTGCGAGGTGGGAAACACTTTGACCGACGGGAAGATTTGTAGGTCCGTTGCAGCTCATGCTGCCCTTGCATCTGTACAGACGATGGCGTTTCCGAAGGATTGCCTGATGTCCCTTTCCACGCTGAGCGCAGCAGTCCTCCGGGCCGCTCTGGCACGCTGATCGACACCCACGTCTGTATGGGGTCTGTTGGTGTTGTTGATGTCATAATTGTTGTTGTCATTGTTGCATTCGTTTCTTTCCCAATCGGGGAGTTGAGTAAGGAGAGGCAATGAAAGTCATCGTCGAGCAATCTTCGACCGACGCATGCTTTGATGCACTTGCGCACAGACTCTTGACTTTGGTCGTGCGATGTGGCGTGGTCACAAGTGACAGAGTGCAGCTCGAACGAAGCGGTAAAAGCGCGCAGCGGCAAGTGGTGGCGACCGCTGCGGATGCTGTCACCGCATCCGACGCTACATGAATCTGCAGCGGAAAGCTGGAGTGGATGCTTACGCCGATCTATCGATCAATCCTGTCTCGTCTTGACATCTGTTAAATGCCAAAGGGGCTTCAGGTCTCTCTTGTATTGTGATTACTGCGACGTGAAGAATGACAGGTAAGGCCCATTTGTTTAGTAAAGAAAGACAGCGATGCATGCTCCGAACACGGAAAGCAAAGGCAGGGCTCTGGTTGCTACGAACGGCTAATCCCGCTTGCGTTGGCATAGATCTGCGCAACATGCTCCGCTGCAAAGCCACGCAAGGTACCGAGACGCAGCAAGGGGCTCTATTCGCGAAGCTTGGCAAGACGATGTGAAGCGCGTCCAGACTGCTGCTAGCTCTCTGCACGACGAATGCTTTCAAGCTTGCCAAGAGCGATGGGTGCTCGGGTGGATGAACAGCCAGAGCATGAATCTCGTCCTGTGTTTGATAAGGGATGGGATGCAGCAGAGCTTATCTGCAACGAAGAGATCGCAGAGCAAGGACCTCACAACGACGCGTGGA